TACTAAGAGGCTTGAATAGAGTTCAGGTGGAGAAGATGTTTCCACTAGTAAGAGAGACTAGGACCTGAGGGCACAACCTCAGAGTGAAGGGACGACCCTTTAGAACTGAGATGAGGAGGATTTCTTCAGCCAAAGGATAGTTAATCTGTGGAACTCATTGCCGCAGAGAGCCATAGAGGCCAAGTCATTGAGTGTACGTAATACAGAGATAGATAAGTTCTTGATTAGTAAGGGAGTCAAAGTTTCTGGGGAGAAGGTAGGAGAACGGGGTTGGTCGGCCATGATTGAATGGTGGAGAAGACTCAATGGGTCGAATGGCCTAATTCTGTTTCTATATGCTATGATCTGTAGTCTAGCTGAAAGGATCTTGGTAGTGGTCATTGCCTCTAAACATAGAAAGTATTTCCAAAAGGCACTTCTGGCAAACCCAAAAATTATGCTATTGATGCACTGCTCGAGGAAAGATGCAACTTTGAAGCAAATGCAAGAGGAAAGGAGCTTCTGTAGGTACTTCACTCTGCAACAACTATTGCAGTTGTTAGCATGGTCAGTTAAAAACTTAAATCTTGAATGAGATGTGGATTGTCTCATCCAACAAAACAATGTCCTGCATTTCATGACATGTTCAAGCTATGGTCTAGATGAGGCTAGTGGTTGAGACATCCAAGTGCTCAGAGAGATACAAAGCATAACACGATGCTCTGCAGCAGCAACTGGGAGAGGTGCTGGTATAGTGGGAATGTCACTGGACGGGCATATATATGCAATGCTACAGTTTGAAGATCCCAGTCAGATAGTACATGTGGTCAATTTGATAGTCCACATGGAACCCAGGCTAATGTGGGAATGTGAACTCGAATTCTATAATGGCAGGTGATGACATTTGAATTCCATAAAAAGCTAGCCTAATGGTGACCATGTAACCATTGTTGATTGTCATAAAAAATCATCTGCTTCACTAATATCCTTAAGGGAAGGAAATCTACCATCCTTAAGACTTGTAACTGGCTTCAGAGCAATTAGGAAAGGGCAAATACATTTGGGTCCAGCCAGTCAATCCTTCATGCAACAAAAAAAAATGAGCGAACCAAGGAACAATATCAAAGATGTTTCCAAATTCCCATCATTGGTGTGCAAGCAAGTCAGTGATGTTTAAAATATAGTTGCAATGTTACAGCTTACAGACCACAGCCAGACAGTATTACAGAATCCCTACAGTGTGGAAACAGGCCATTCGGCCCACCGTGTCCACATCAACCCTCCAAAGAGCATCGCACCCATGCCCAATACCCCTGGACTCTCCCTGTAATCCTGCATTTCCTATGGCTAACCCACCTAGCCTGCCTATCCCTGGACACTTGGGACAATTTAGCATGGCCAATCCACTTAACTTGCACATCTTTAAACTGTGGGAGGAAACCAGAGCACCTGGAGGAAACCCATGTCGACACAAAGAGAATATACAAACTCCACACAGACAGTTGCTCATGGCTGGAATCAAACCCAGGTCTCTGGTGCTCTGAGGCAGCACTACTGTGCCATCTTGCCACCCCTTGTATCATGCGGTCACTTGACACACTACACGGACACGGTCAAAAAAAATGAAACTTTTAAATCTATCCAAGTGATATATCCCAAGAGTAATCGACAACATGTACTATATACAAGATAGACATCGATGCTGATGTAAAAAAAGTTTCTTTACACATCATCCATGAATGTACTTTGGAAATATGCACAATGCAGTCCAATCCACACAAAATAGGCCAACTGCTCACAAGGGGTTTGACATCCCAGGCATTAGCCATCTTAAATGGCAATACAACTGCTTGGGATGAATGCCTGAAAACCTTTACGTTGTTGATACAGCACACCTTCTGTTATTGGTGTCCCAGCAGGCATGGATCAACATATTATCATGATCCATGAGTAACAAACCCACCAGTTGCAACACTAAATATTCCAGACTACAACACTGAGTCCACGTATAAACCTCAACAATTGAGAGAACCTTTCCTTCCAAATGTGATTCCTGTTGAGCCATGTGAGATAGCAATTGTTATTTTCCAGCACCAAGGACATGATTACCTTCCAGTGACTGACTACTTCGACAAGTTCCTTTTTGGCTACAAATCAAAGATATTACTCAAGCAATAATTGTTGACACATTGACTGCCATGTTCAGTATGTTCAGTGTACCTCAACACATTTTTCTGACACAGGCTACAGTAGTCTGGTGCAGCATTCGAAGAGATGTGCAGGAAATGGGGTGTCCATCATATTAGTTCTTCCCTCCAATCCTTACTGTAATGGTCCTACAGAATCCACTGTGCGTACTGTAAAATCCATGATACCCAGTGTAAAGTGATTTGCCAAGATTTTCGAATCTCTGTGCTAAAAGTATAAAAGTACAGTCACCATCATCCTACTGCTCCATCCACAAGGACAGATAGCACACCACAAAGTGAAAGTACATAGTCAAGTCATAATAACGATATAAGGACTAGTCGTATTTGTACGTCCAGTAAAGCATTATCTGAACCTGTAGAATCAATGTAACTTTAATCATCCTTGTACATAGTATTGAAAAAGGGTTTGCATTCTTTGAAGGGAAAAGAGCAGACAGGTAGTATACCTTTAAGTCACATACATGACATCACAGTATGATGTTCCAGTATAAAAGAACCTGCCTCACCTTCAGTCAATCTGTCAGTGCAATGGGTTAATATACCGTGTGTGTTAGGTCAGCCAATTATGTGTATTTAATGTACAGTATCATCAGTAAGCACAAATTCCTGTATAACTCTGTGATATTAGAATAATGTAAATATTAGTGTTGTTAATAATCTTCAGGACAACATGATCAGATGGGCAGATGGAATTCAATTTAGATAAATGTGAGGTACTGCATTTTGGAAAGGCAAGCCAGGACAGTACTTATACACTTAATGTTAAAGTGCTGGAGAGTGTAAAATCAAAAGAACTGTGGGTGGCACGGTGGCTCAGCGGTTAGCACTGCTGCCTCACAGCACCAGGGACCCGGATTCAATTCCATCCCCGGGCGACTGTCTGTGTGGAGTTTGCACATTCTCCCCATGTCTGCGTAGGTTTCCTCCGGGTGCTCTGGTTTCCTCCCACAGTCCAAAGATGTGCAGGTTAGGTGGATTGGCCATGCTAAATTGCCCGTAGTGTTCGGGGATGTGTAGATTGGGTAGGTCATAGGGGTATGGGTCTGGGTGGGATGCTCTGAGGGTCGGTGTGGACTTGTTGGGTCAAAGGGCCTGTTTCTACAACTGTAGGGATTCTTATGAAAAAAAAAAGAGACCTTGGAGTGCAGGTTCATAGTTCCTTCAAAGTGGATTTGCAGGCAGAAAGGATGATGAAGAAGGAGTTTGGTACACTTGCCTCTGTTGGTCAGTGCATTGAGTATTGGTGTTGGGGGGTCATGTTGCGGCTGTACAGGACATTGGTTAGGCCACTTTTGGAATACTGCGTGCAATTCTGTTCTCTCAGCTACAGAAAGGACATTGTGAAACTTGAAAGGGTCCAGAAAAGATTTACAAGGATGTTGCCAGTGTTGGAGGGTATGAGCTATAAGGAGAGTCTGAATAGGCTGGGGCTTTTTTCCCTGGAGCTTCAGAGGCTGAGAGGTGACCTTACAGAGGTTTATAAAATCATGCGGGGCATGGATAGGGTGAATAGCCAAGGTCTTTTCCCTGGGATAGGGGAGTCCAAAACAAAGGGCATAGGTTTAGGCTGAGAGGGGAAAGATTTATAAGAGACCAAAGGGGCAACTTTTTCACACAGAGGGCGGTGCCTATTTGGAATGAACTGCCAGAGGAAGTGGTGGAGGCTGATACAATCATAATATTTAAAAGGCATTTGGATGGGTAAATGAATAGGAAGGGTTTAGAGGGATATTGGTCAAATGCTGGCAAATGGGACTAAATTAATTTAGGATATCTGGTCGGCATGGACAAGTTGGACGGAAGGGTCTGTTTCTATACTGTACAGCTCTATGACTCTATTTGTTTCAACAAGAAACTGATCTCTACGTTATACGTTATGTGAACTAACATCAAATGCAGGACTCAGATTGTATAATACTGACAGTAATGTTTGACCTAAGAAGCCATATCAAGTTGGCATATTACCCTCCTCCATCCATTGTTCTACACAAACTTCAATGTGTCCAGACCACTGCTCATTATATACTATTATCCGTCTTCCTTGTCTCCGTTGGATACTCTGGTCCCCCATGCTGTCTTGAAATTTTATTTCGTTCCTACCTGAGCAATATCCTTCAGCATTACTTTTAGTTGTAGAGGTTACACCACCTTACATTACCTACAGAAAAGGCACTGCTCTTAGATTAAAGGACAGTTTATTGTATGATAGCAATATATACAATTGCAGTTAGTCAGGCATCAATACTAGGACCTGAGACAGCTGGTACAGATACATCTGTTCCCTCTAAAAACTAAAGTAAAACTCCTTGTCTCCACCCACAGACCGCATGTGACATCAGTAGAATGGGTGAAGCCAATGTGACCCTTTCAGAATCGTTACTTTATACAACTGAAGGGTGCCTTTTTCTATCCAGATTAATATAGCGAGGGAGAATGCATGTTTGAGTGAGACAGAGTGGGTGATTGGGATTTCTGAGACTGTCACAAAGCAAAAATCAGTTTTGTAGAGAACATGTTCATAAAAATGATCAGTGCCAATGTTCGCAGTTGGACAGATGTAAATATCTTGCACAAATGTGGTTTGTGTCTTGTGTTTCGGTGCACACCTGATCTGACAGACTTGTTTTCACTCAACAATCTGTGGTCTGTGACGATTTACCCCTGTGGAGTTGTGTCCCTGTCGTTGTGTACACTATCAACAAACTGGCTGTGTTAGTTATTCAAACAAGCAGCGTTGCATTGCTAATTGCACTTTGATTTCTCTTATTTGACTCTGTGCACAAAACCTTGACCTGTGTGTTCTCTTTTCAGATACTGTGCTTTTATACATGTTTTTCTACTGGCTCCTATTTTGATCCTTTTCTGTGGGACCAGTGAGGAGCTTGTGTCCGGTGAGTTTAAAACTTAGGCATCTGTTCTGAAAAAAAGCAAACTGAAATGTTGTTCTTATTCCTTCACTTTTCAAATAATTTGCTATTACCTTTAAAAAAATGAGGAATAAATTGACAGTCATTGTAGATCAAATTTTGAAATGCAGGTTGATGGAAATCATTCTTCGATATGGTCCATTGAGCAACTTGACCACTGTGGAGTGATTGCCTTTTTCACACCTTTACTGATAAGCCCTTGGCCAGTGAGCGATGGCTGTTTATAGCCCTGGGTATGTCTGACATTCACTTGGCAGAATTTTCACTTCTGAGGCTGCATGTAGTGATGGGCCCAAAGAACTGGGAAGGGTTTGCCTTGGGTGACTGGTTGTGTGGAATTTCCTTAAGGGTTTCCTCTGGGTGCTCTGGTTTCCTCCAACAGTCTAAAGATGCGCAGGTTAGGTGGATTGGCCATGCTAAGTTGTCCTGTGGTATCCATGGATGTCCATGTTAGGTGGTTAGGGGTTATGGGGATAGTGGGTGCGTTGCTCTTTGGTGGGTCAGTGCAGACTCAATGGGTTGAATGGCCTCTTTCTGCACTGTAAGGATTCTATGAATATTGAAATTGTCAACATTTTGAAAAAACAATGAAATGTAAATAAATGTACCATGATTTTCTACATTCCTGTGATCTCATTCAACCTATTTATATATCTAACAGAATAACTGAAGGACAATGATTGGTCTAAAACCTCACATGCTTTTCTAGTGTAATGTTACAAACTGCACTGATGTTGTCCTGTATAGATCTTGTCTGGGGGGGCAGAAACCCTTTGGGAAACAGGAATGTAAACTCCATGAAAATCAAAAGAACTGTGGATGCTGTAAATCAGAAACAAAAATTGAAGTTGCTGGAAAAGCTCAGCAGGTCTGGCAGCGTCAGTGGAGAGAAATCAGAGTTAACTTTTCAGGTCAAATGACGCTTCCATAGAACACAGGACTGAGGAAGGGTCACTTGATCTGAAACGTTAACTCTGATTGCTCTCCACAGATGCTGCCAGACCCGCCGAGCTTTTCCAGCAATTTCTATTAATGTAAACTCCATGGTTGTGCTTTGTGAGTCAACGAACATAGTGTGACCCTTCTACATCTCTGTGAAAGGTAAATGTTCCTTGCAAACAAAGTCTTGTTTGATACAAGCAGGGCCCCCATGTGAGCTCACAGAACTCCAACCTGATGATCTGGCCATCAAACTGAACAGGAATTTATGTGTACGAAGGGAGCAAGGGAGCAATGTAAAGTTTCACCATTATAAAGCATGCCTTGCCTTGCAGGTAGTTTGGCCTATGCATTACACTGGCTGTAATTTTATCTACCCACAAACGTTCATGCAAACTCATTCGTTTTCAAATCCAGCTGATATCAGGTTCCTCACTGTGAGTATTAGCTTCTGTCAGATTCCACTTCTTCCTCACCTGAGAAAACAGTGCTTGGTCCATCTGCTCCTCCTCTAAGCTCCCACCTGTCACTGAGCTGGCCTGTGCAATGTGCAACAAACAAGCATTGTCCTGGACTCGAGTGCTCCTGAATGGCCTGGGCAACAGAAGCACATTCTCAGAAGGCCAATCTATGATGGTCCCAGGTAATACATGGGAAGCATTGGTAACGCTGAGGGTTTCAAACTGGGGACATTAACCATGATTTCTGGGTGAGCCTTGTCACCCAGTTCTGGAAATGGATTAGTGAATATTGGCAGACCTGAGGGTTGTGCAGAATGTAATCATTTTGACAGCTCCCTGGATAGCGGGTACACTATAATTCCTATAGGGGATTATTGCCTGTGGTCACAAAAAGGTTGGACATTGTGGGAGAGAAATCCCTTCCGGTTAAGGAATCTAGTTGGAAGGTAGCAGGAGCAATTGTGCAACATATGTATGAAGTCGATGTCCCCTTGTACCTGATGGAACCCAGTGCTGTAAATCCAACAGCTCTGACTATGGCTCTCTGTGTCCATGATGAACTAGACAAACTACACTGCTTTACTGCATTGGTGAATTCACAAAAGCACCTGTGGGCTGCCAACTGGGGCATACAAAGAAGTCCACAGTTGAGTTTTGAAAGGAGCCAGCAGTGAGGAATTTCAATGTTGCCATAATCTTCTCCACCTCTACCATCATACATCCTACCAAACTAAGCAGTTGAAGATCTGGCTTCAGAAGGTGGCAGCTGTAGGTAGCAGTGTCCTCAGTTGCATGAAGACATCTGTGGCACTGCCTTTCACTCATGTGGAACGATGTTATGGGCTAGAATTGACCTCTGCAATTGTTGTCTATGAAAACTGACTTGTTCCATCTGATCGGTAATCCAGTGAATCTTGTTAGAAAATGCAGGAAGATATCATTACCTCTCTTCTGACATATTATGATCAGGCATCATTGTCCAGATTCACAAGTGAAGAAAGGTGACTTTGGTGAAATAGCAAGTGGCTCCTTGTGTTTTTGAAACTGTGCCACTGAATGGGATTACACCAGCTCCGAATCCTGCTTTTCTGGACCTGTCTAAATCCATTGAGCATAGTCAAAATGCATGAACAAAGTTTCTGCATGCAAAATTGAATTCTTATCATACTTCAACTACCGTAAAGTAGAAGGCCAAAATGTAGGGAGTTCATCATTTTCTCACTTGGGGGCTGGTTTTGCAAAACATGGTTATTGACAACTTGGGCAACCTGAAGGATTTCAACTCTTACTCTAACAACATATTTGACATTGTTGTCAGACTCTTATGTCAGAAGGTATCAGCAGCGATCACCAAGTAAAAGGATTTATATTTGTACCTGGAGAATGCTCACAAGCTTTAGAGAATGGGATTTGGCGGACAAACATGGAAGTCTGTGTAGCTCAGCAGAGTATTGAGGTGTCTAAATATTGAACATAAAACATCAGTTTTCCAGTTCTATCTGGGCAAGACAGCGACCAATAATTTCAGTTAGATGAAAAGGGGTGGTGGAATAAACCACTCTGTGGAGGTAATCACTTTTTCAGAGCTGTGATGTTGGTCGGTAACCAGGTGAACACAGCAGTATTAGGAGGCTTTTTTTTAATGCCTCATTTCCTTTGGTTTCTATGCACCTTGAATGACTGTAGTGTGGGGGGTGAGGACTGGAATTAATGAGATCCGACTTTGACCTCTTCTTGTGGACAGGTTTAACAATCGATGTTTTATGTTGGCAAGTAGAAAGCTACTTTGTTGCTATGCATGAAACATTTGGATAACTTAAACTGTATAACAGTGTGAATCGAAGCACTAAAACAAGTTCTGACGCTGCTTTCATGTTGACCTCATTTTAATACAGATTTGGAGACCATCGGAGCCAGGAAAGGACAAACAAACCTGTCTAGGATTCTGCTGCTCATATATGAGAGCTGGAAGTATCAAACAAAATAAGTACCAGGAGCCAGCTCATGGATACAGACCTCCCGGAATGTAAGTTGAAATTAGGCCAATATAAAAGCAGAGTACACTTTGCTTTGACTCACTTTGGCGGAGCTTGATGTTCCAAGTTTTGAAAGCTGGGTACTTTCACACTGAAACAGTTTTAAATTGTGCAAAGGAGTTTGGGAGCAATGGTTTCAAATGAAAGAAAGTAGCAGTCGCTCTGTTATCTCTTGACACACAGAACTGGTTTGGGTTCAATGCTAAATAGGCTCCTTCTGTGCTATTATTATTTTATAATATGTAAATCTTCAAACCAATGTTCACAACTCAGAGCACATCATCATCTTCTTCAAATGTTATAATATTTGAAGAGATACTACTGGTGTTTCAGAGAAAGTAGTAATCAAAGGGAACTCTTGACTGGTTAGAAAATACTGAATATTACAGAACGGCATCTGGTTGCAGTGTGTTCATGTATTGCTGTATTATGTACTGGTGTTGCAAGCTGCAGGTGAAGCCCTGCTCCAACCTACCTTTGACTTTTCATGTGAAAACTGACATCATGGTTATTGAATTTCTGCAAGGCTGCAAGGCTGTTTCCTATTCATACTGTTATTTTAGGATGTACTGGTGAAGGGACTTTGCATATCTGGTATCTGTCACGTGAGATTATGTTTTGCTTTGTACAGTAATCTAATAAAGGGAAACAAAATATTAGGAAATCCTAACAATGGACATTATTTGAGTGAGAATTTAGCAAACTCCCTCCCTTCACCCCATCATTGGTGACAAAGCCTCTGAACATTTTGTTCCTACCATCTGGTGGAAATAAATCCTTAAACCCTTTGCACTTCTCTCTCTGCCTAGATAACTTCCTCATTGTAAATGGTTTTACAAATATGAGCAATGTGCACTTAAATTATTGATATGCTCTCTGTAGGCAAAACTTCTGGAAATTAGAACTCACAAAGTCATCCTCTGTATATGGCCCCGGGTGTCTATAGTGCACAGCTACACAACAAAAGGAAGTGAAAACGTTGGAAAATTGTCACGTAAAGAGTCATCTCTTCCAACAGTTATTTATGAGACACTGAGAAGTTAGAGTGCAACAGCAGAAAAGGTAAATTATGTTAATTGCAACCTGAGCCAACTTATTTGTTGTAAATTCACCCAGAACAAGCTATTACTTATAATAAATTGGAGAAAGCACCTAACTTATTTGTCACACAGATTAGGTTTTATTTTGCATAATAATCTTACTAATGGACGATGTTGCACTTTCTGCTTCCTTTGACGATGTTTGATTAAAATTTGAGATTAATGATGGAATAAATAAGGCATTGGATAGAGCAGGGAATTAGAGTTGTGTGCAATATTACCAACTAATCCCGAAAATTGGATAACAATGCATATATGCACATGCCTTGAGACGGGTGAGTGTGCTACATGTTGACCATGCAAATTGTAGGTTCCCACTTCTATCCCTCTGTTAATTTGTGGCAGCTGCTACAACATTAAGGTGCGAAGTTTCTGTTTTGGATCCCTGAAGTATACTTTCTGAGTGCTGATACTATCTGAATGTGTATGAATGTTGGGTGGGAGAAGGTTGGACACAGACATGAAAAGCAGCCAAATGATGAAATTACCAGAGTGCCATTTCAACAAGAGGGGAACAGCGAAATATAGCAGGCATAGAGTGTATTTTCAAATCTTGCACTCCAATTTGTATTTCATTCAAAACACAGTTCAGTTGGTTCAAACCACAGACTGCTCTTCAAGTGAATGCATCTTCTTCACTAAACAAAGTTTGCATTTTCTTCCTCACTTTGAGTAAACACATAATCTAAATCTTCTGTTGACCCAAGGAAGAGGAAAGATGTGTGCCACTTACTCTCATGACTCTACTGTTCTGTATTTATTAGTGAGAAAGTTGGAGACAGCTGCCTCAGATTCTTAATCGATATAAACCCAAGACCCATGGCATACACAGAACCAAGATCGAAAAAGAGTAACAGAGATGAGGCAGATGGAAAAAGTAATGTTTGGGCAATGTTAAGCTTTCATTTTCAATGTTCCTAAATTGTAGCAATGAGGCTTTCATCATCCTTTTGAGACAGCCAGGATCAGGAACTCTGGAAAGAAGAACTCATAGTCACGATTTATATTCTACCATAAATGTGCACAAGCATCTGAAATATTGCTGCTTGCATCTTTATGTGTTTGCTTCCAATCTCTGTTTGTGTCCAACTATTGTAGCACAAACTGGTTCACGGATGGGATGTGGATCAATAAACTTCAGTAAAGTACTGCAATTAAAACGTAGAGATCAGAAAATCTTGGGATTTTATGTGCACGGGTGAACTGAAGGCCAACTCCAATGGCTTCCATTGTTCGATAGCTTATTAACACTGTAGGACAGAAATTATAATGCTGCACTACACAGATGTAGCTCTCTATTTGATCTGTGCTTTTACCATCTTGTCTCACATGTAAAGAATGGTCACACAGAACAGAAACTAGAGAACTGCTGGCTCCCATGAAACTGTACCCCACCAAGAAGATTATTAAACTTTACTAGAGATCCTAATATCAAAAAACTATTCTTCTATAATATTTCTTATTCTTTTTGGACAGTGGGTGAAAGTAACAAAATTTCAATTAGTTCCCCTCCTCACTTGGTCTGAGATAATGGTGGCAGCAAAACTTTCTCCTTGAACTACTGCAGTCCCAATGGTGATGATCTCCAATGGTCTCCCAATTCTGGTCTGTTCAGCATCCCCACTTTTAAACACTCCATTACTGGTGGCTGTACTCTCAGCTCCTTGGGTCCACAGCTTTGGAGATACATTCCTAAACCTCTCCACTCTTCTTTCCTACTTCAAAGTGCTCCTTGAAACTCACAAGTTTGACCAAGCTTTTTAACATCTATTCTCTCATGTGGCTTACTGACAACCTTTGCTTGGTAAAACTCGTGCATAGTATCTTTAGAATGTCTTACGTAATTAAAAACAAAATATAAAAGCAAGTTCTTGCTGCTGTTATCGTCGTTCAGCAAACAATTTCAAATACTCGACCCAGCAACACTAAAAGGACAACGTATCCTGGGATCAGAGTTGCGAGGTGCACCATTTTTCTTTCTGCAATTCATCTAATGAACATTAAATGGGTTAATATCTTCAAATAATATGCAGGTGCTCCTTTAAATAACACATAAAAAGAATTGCATAAAAATGTGTTTGCTAATTCATCACATAAAAACACATGAAAATGCATTCACAGCAGGATTAGCTGAATAGAGGTCAGTAACAAGAATCCAGAATGATTCCAGGATACAGAGGGGAATAGCTACTAAGTTCATTAGAAATACTTACCTGATTTCAAAGCATTAGTGGAGACAAAGAGAGTTAATTTTTAAAGCCTGTGACCTCCCATCAGAATGGTTCTGACAAAAGGGTCCCACAGCTGAAAAGTTAATTCTTGTTTCCCTCTTCATTGCTGCTGCCACATCTCTTTCCAGCATTTCCTGTTTTTATTTCAGTTTTCTATCATCAGCACCATTTTGCTTTTGTAAAAGCTGGTTTGGCTGATTTAATCCAGCTCCGCCAATTCAATTTTCAGCGTCGTATTGGTAGTTAAATACAGGCTGACATGTTGCAGCAATGTACTCTTAACTCATTACTTCCTACAATTAATGTATGGGCTTTCATCTGTTTTTTGGTCTCATTTAACAGGAGAACCTCTCAACAAAGAGATGCAGACAGGTGATGTGTGAAGGCAATGGTGCTAAACGGAACAAATTAGTTTGAAACCCTCCCTTCTGTTGTGTTTCATATACGACTCAGTGAAAAGTAAACCAAAGAAAGAAATACTATCATCAGAGATCAAATCAGCTCAGGTAAAGAAAAACTCCACAGGGCTGTGCTTGTGCTTTTATTATTTATAGAATTGGGTCATTTAAAAACAACTGCAAACAGTCAAAGTCAAACACAACACAGGAAAATGTTTCTGATATCAATTGCTATTACACTGGGTGAAGCCCAATAAGAATAAAAGTGAGAACTTACATTTATAAAGCTTCTTTCACAATGTCTCAAAACACATTACAACAATGATGCAATTGTGACATGAAGAGTACCATGGGAAACACAGCAGCCAACATGCACTTGGCAAGGTTCCATAATCAGCAGAGATAATGACAAGATCATTGCTTTAGTTTTGTTGGTGGAGGGATAAATACTGTCTATGACACCCAGGTACTATCACCTTTTTTGTGAATAGCACCATTGGATCTTTTAGAGGGCAGACAAGGCCACAATGTAATGTCATTTGAAGGACAACACCACTGACATTGGAACCCTCCATCAGCTTGTTCCAAAATATTGTGTGCTCAAGCCTGTGGATTATTCAGGCATCTCACAGTGGAACACGCTGTATAGAGAAAAGTTAAATTCCATTGCACTTTCTGTAATATTTCACTTATGATGCTTTGTCATCTGGTTATACGCTTGACATAGAATGAATATTTTAAAAATTCTTAACATTTCCATTTTACAGAAGCACCTCAGATTGGAAAACAATGAATGGAGAAACATGGGATTTGATTACATGGTGAGATTAGATTCAAAATGTTTTACAGTGTACTTTTCTTAATAAAAGTTATGTTTTGGGAAAAAGTGCACTAAACTTCATGAAATGAAGCTAAAATCATAATCTTCTGACTAGGTAGGTTTGAGTGATACCTGAAACTTCAGAGTTAACTAGGACCAAACATTAGGTCATAATGGTCAAGCAGCATCTGCTCCTATGATGCTGCTTGGCCTGCTGTGTTCATCCAGCCCTGCACCTTGTTGTCTCGGATTCTCCAGCATCTGCAGTTCGTACTATCTCTGATTAGGTCATAATGGGTTATGTTATATTATTTCTTTAATAGTGTCATCCCAAGAGGGATGGTGCTGTTTGCATATAGCATTCTAGCTGGAAGAAGTGAGTGAATCTGAGGTTTGTCCATTCAAGTAATCAATTAGGGTGGCACGATGGCACAGTGGTTAAGCAGTGCTGCCTCACAGCATCAGGGACCCAGGTTTGATTCCAGCCTCGGGCGACTGTCTGTGTGGAGTTTGCACATTCTGCTGTGTCTGTGTGAGTTTCCTCCCATTGTCCAAAGATGTTTGGATTAGGTGGATTGGCCATTCTAAATTGCCCATAGTGTCTAGGGATATGCAGGTTACATGGATTAGCCATGGAAGATGCAGGGAGAGGGTAGGAGGTGCATCTGGATGGGATGCTCTTCAGAGGGTTTGTTGTGGACCTAATAGGCCGAATGGCCTGCTTCCACACTGTAGGGATTCCATGATTCAGTTTTGGGGTCTATTCACCTACAAATATCAACTTGTCATTCAAGGTCAGGACCAAGCATGATTGAAAGATAATCATATCTCCTGAATCACAGATTCCAACAGGGAACCTGTGACAATCTTTGTAGAAAGATCATCCACACTATCCAGTGTCAGAGGGTGGGAGTGGTAAACTTTCTTATTCCTGATGCAACATTGCATGATTGGAAATGATGGTTGGAGGAAAAATTAATTTAGAGATTACTTGATTGACCACCGAAATCTTTACCCCTGCTTTGATCACCAGTGCACTGTAGCTTCTGTATGTGCTACCCACAGAATGCATTGCAGCACCTCAACAAGCCTACTTTGTTAGAACCTTGTACTCATAACTAATACCGACAAAACAAAAAACAGTAGTGGCAACTAAATAGTTTCACCTCCAAATTCTCATGTCATAAGAGAGAAAAGCGAAATAGATATGGGTAGAGAGGGAGAAATATAGTGGAAAACAACAAAATGAGTCCATGAGGGAGAAAACTATACAAGGTATGTTGATAGGATTGGACAAACCAAGGGTGGAACACAAGCAATGGCAATAGTGCTGCTGAATGGCTTGGATGTGCTGTAAATTCTATGTAATATGCAAAACAGTTAAGAGGCAGAGGGAAAGAAAGATCATTGATAAGGCAAGACAAAGAGACTGCATGAATAGCTGGAGTGAGGAAAAAGAGAAAGCAACTGAAAGGCAAACACAAAGGGGAACAGAGAAGTCAAGCTGGGAAAGACAAAAGGCAAGACATGAGATCATTAAGGGAGAAAGAGACAAAGGAAGAGGACAAAACTGGAGGGGGTGGGAGTTGGTGGGCAATGACAGCTCACAGTCTGATTTCAATCCTGAGTAAACAACTAGGAGCTGACTTTCAGTTTCTGAATTCGGACTCATTCCCCTGGAATGTAGATAATGAGACAGGGAGAAGTGCTGACTGGGTGGAGTAGCTGGCTGAGTGGTTGGAGGTTATTGGTACCTTCAGATCTAACTATTTCTTAAAATGCATCTTGCTAAAGTGTTGAAACATGCTTACTCATATATATGATATAATATCAGGCAACAGAATGTTAATTGGATTCTCTGGAGCCAGGTCCCAGACTGAGGCAACTCAAAACATTTCAACCACTTGGTGCGTCTGCAGCGTTTATAAACCCGAGCTCTTTGTCCCACCTCAACAAATCCCAGCTCACCGACTTTCACATGATATCGCCATTAAAAGAGTATGTTTTTGTATGGGTTATTGTTTAACATGCACTTTACAAGCGTCAATATATTTGTACTGGATGACTCCTGCCTCGCCTTGGCCCCTCAGGACAACCCTCCCCCATCCTTTCTGCCTGTCACTCATTGATAAAGAAAAACCACACGTTCTGCTAATGCACAGCAGAGCGTTGCAGTGGCAACCTTCCCGAGATTCTTGCCCTTTTCTCATGTTGACCTATCGAAGCTGTGTGTTTCCAGCAATGTAACTTTTAATTGGTGCCGCCCATTGTCAATCACAGAGACAGAGACACGAGTTCGTGACATGGTCCCGGATTCAGGAGACCAGAGGCGGTGCCAAGTCCCAGGCGAGAGAGAAAGAGAGAGAGACCCCCACCCCCCTAACCCCAAGAATTATTAAGACACAAATACACGAGTCACAATCAAACTCTATTCTACCAACTGGTGAAATGGACCAGACCAATATATACAAAGACATACACACACATCCACGACATCACTTTGGGTTTAACAGTAATTGAAATGGAAAGAAAGTAATATCTGAACTTTTTTTTCTTTTTTTTAAAAAAATTGACAATAAAATCTGAGACAGGATTCACCCTAAAGCGATAACTCTTTAAGGGTTCAGGAAAGCCGCCAGTCCCCTGAGGGCGAGCTGTGCTACCTGGTGCCCTCTCACACATAGTCCTTCCTATCGTACCCAGTGGGACCTGTGGACCTGGCGGCAGAGTAGGCCATTCTTGAAGGCACGTACTTCTCATCTTTGGGAGGACAGGAACAGCAGAGCAGGGCCCCTCCGAGGATCAGCAGACCCGAGGTTCCCCAACCGATGTACAAGGAGGCTCCAAGCTCCCTCCTCTGGGCGTCCGTCACCAGCGGGTTGTAGAAATCCCTAATGATGGTGTTTGCAGACCAGGACACTGGGATCAGGATCATCAGTCCAGATAGGATGAAGATAATTCCAGCCACTATCATAATCTTTGCTTTAGTCGCCTCGTCTTCCACACAGTTGGTACACTTGGCTCCCACGATGGAAATCAGAATGCCCAGGACTCCCACCACAATGGCAATGACGGTCAGAGCTCTGGAAGCCTGGAGATCTTGCGAGAGGGCCAACAATGAGTCGTACACCTTACACTGCATCTGGCCGGTGCTCTGAACTATACAGTTCATCCAAAGACCTTCCCAAATGATCTGCGCCACCACGATGTTGTTCCCAATGAAAGCGGTCACTCTCCACATGGGCAGTGCACAGGTTATGATGGCCCCCAGCCATCCCAACACTCCCAAGGCGACCCCCAAGATTTCAAGACCAGCGTTCGCCATTTAAACCGTTCGAAGAACAAGCTGCGATGCTCAATAACTGCACCTTTCGACGGTCTCTAGTGCACTTGTTGCAGAATGAACAGCTTTCCCATTGGACTAGGCTCACACAATGTGACCGAGAGCACCAATGAGCTGCACTAAAGGGGCTGGAATCCGAGGCGGAGTCAGTGGCAGCTCTCAGGTGTAAGAGTTAGTGCTAACGGATCATTGAGCAGCTTTCAAACTCCTTGCTTTCAGGAAATCCATTCCCTCCCCGTCGGTAGTTCGCATTTACTGTCTACTGTTAACAGATTTGGAACGCAAGGTCAGGCTGCAATCCCCAGGACAAAAAAAATGTTGCTCGCCACCTTAGGTGGTATTGCTGATGCAGGCATAAACATAATCGTCAGCTTGCCTTGTGTGCCCCCAGAGAATTCTTAACCTTCCTGTTACTGGGAGCAGTGCCCATTCCGTCAGGTGAGCATAGCAGTTCTTGAAGTCATTAAAATTCTGCTGCTGCTCACAACAACTTTACGTGAATTGCAATGTTTTAAAGGGAATTTTTTAATTTCAAGTGGACTGTGAATCGTTACTTAACTTCAAATCTGTTGCATAAAGAATTGAATTAGTACAGTATCAGCTCATTAACGTATTGGTCACATTTTACTATAAAAATGGCAGTATATACCTGTACAAAATCTGGAACATCTTTCATTGCTCAAGAAACGAAAAAAATCTCTTTGCATTTCCTTACAATGCTTTGTTTTGATGTGAATTATGTCACCTGCCTGAGCATCTAAACCAACAAAAGATTTGCTATGAAAATGTTTCATTTTTTAAAACATAGCGTGCACAACAGACAATACAGTCATGGAACTAAAAATATGAAATCCCTATAAATGAGGAAGGCCATTTAGTCCATCTTAACCAATGATCCAGAAAGACCTCATAGTTGCCAGTTTGCAGCATCCAATTCTATCAAAGTTTTCTCTCCAGAAATCCCTTCCATGTGTTTATTAGTCTGATGAAGGATATCCTAACAACACAGCTAAATTTGTCCTTTAACTGTATTGGCATATGCCCCTTAAACTGAACCAATAACTTCATTTGAAGTCAACTTTTGAATTTACATTCTCCAGATCATTTACGTTTAAAAATCTCAAGATCATGACTCAGTCATTTCCATTTAAGTGTGAAAAGGCTAAGTTCCTTCAAAGTTCCACATAGTTTATATATTGGATACCAAGATTCGGCGCTGTGGTCTTTCATTCTCCAGTGCTATAATGTCTCTTTTTTTATCTTAATGACCAGAGCCAGTCTTGTTATTCATGGTGAGGCTTGATCCAAGTTTTCACATGACTTCCTTTAACTTAAATTCTACTACTTTCTTCTACAGATATTAATATTCTCTTTGCCTTGTTTGCTGCTCTGTAGCAGTTGGACATCTTAAGTGTTGAGTCTAGTAAGCCTTGTGAGTCTGCCAGAATTCAGTTAAGTCAACATGACTGATGGAAGACCAATGTCACATTCCCTTCCTTCCTATGTGCTATAATTCATACTTACCTGCATTACATTTCATCCACCATTGTTTAATCCACATTTTTTTTCAAAACCCTGTTTATAATTTCTAAGCTTCCTTCTCTAAATTTGCTGCCTCTCCTGGTTTTGAACTATATTCAAATAAAGCTAGTTTGCATTAAGTTTTTGTTTCAAAGGCATTAATGAATATTAAAAGCTGGAATGGTCGCAATTTCTTCACTACACAGTACTTCTTATCTCCTAATCTAGCTTCTCTAATACATATTTGTTATTTTCGATCTTTCAGCACAATCAATATTAATTCAAAAAATGACTCTGAAATCTCTGTATTGAATTTAACTTGTAGTCTTCTACATGAAACAACTTTTGACATGTCACAAATTTTATGTCACAAATTTCCACACTACACTTGTGATATGACTTCCTCAAAAGATCAGAAGGAATATTTAGATAGAATCTTCACTTCTAAAACCATATGGACTTGTATTTACTAAATTATTACAGTACAGATAATTCTGTAGTTTACTCTTGATAATTCTTTTACGCAATGTTGTGGTATGACTAATGAATCCATAGTTGCCTGTGTCTGTACTGTCTTTGTTGGAAAGTGATACCACATCAACCTGCTTCCAATCTATTTCTACATTGCCTTCAAACAGTAAATATGTCATTAGAACCATCAACATCGCACAAAAAGAGGAAAGAAAGGGAGAGAATGAGAAATGGTAATTAGTTGCATTTATGTAGCACCTTTCACACTTAGAAAATCTCAAAGTGCTTTACAGCCAATGAACCACTTAGAGATATAGAAATTGGAGCAGGAGTAGGCTATTCAGCCTTTTGAGACTGCTCCATTATTAATTATGTCTTGGCTGATCATACAATTCAAAAGCCTGTTACCACTTTTCTCCCAAGGTCAGAAGAATTCCTATGAAAATTCTATTTTGATCTAATGCTTCCAATTCTGGTATATCGTGAACTAGATGAAGAGCAAGACTCTTTCTACAACTTTGACAACCAATCCCGAGGGAAAGTGAAAGCTTTTTTCTGTAATTTGTGACAGACCATGAAAAAGAAGCTCTGGCCTGCCCATGTCTACCATGAGGAAGGATAAAATGTATAAGAATAAAATATCAGCTGTAGTTAGAATTAATTGTCCTGCTCGCTGACGTTAGCTCCACTGTAACTGCATTCATAAATAAAGTATTAACGCATTAGTTACAAAAAATAAACAAAAGGAACTATTTTGTGTTTATATTATCTCATGTACAGTGATCAGAGAGACCCTGTCTCTATGTATTAGGTCAAATTCCAGGGTTTTTCGGTGAAAGTTGATAAATTGACTTTTGAGATAGTAGGAACTGCAGATGCTGGAGAATCTGAGGTAACAAGGTGTAGAGCTGGATGAACACAGGCCAAGCAGCATCAGTGGAGCAGGAAGGCTGATGCTGCTTGGCTTGCTGTGTTCATCCACCTCTACACCTTGTTATCTCAAATTGACTTTTGAACTGACTAACGCGCATTTTTTTTAGCATTGTTCTAATACGTTGATTTTTCTCCATGTACCCAACACCCACACCATTGAAGCTCCTTGCATGATTGAACAAGGAACATTTGTGGTTTAAGGGCTTAATATACTACCTTCTTGAACATGTCTCTGAAGGTCAGGCACTCTGATTCATGTAGTTGGAGTGGTTTCCATTAGATGCTAAACACTGTTTACGCAACAGCTAGTAAAGCAACAGTAAAAACAGGTTTGCATGAGCTGACAAAAACATTTTCAAATTTGTTGTTTTCACGAACAAAGGTCAAATGCATTCCCACAGTAGTACTCCTAATTTATATGTTATCATTCTCACTGTGCAAGTATTCATGAGGTGTTAATTCTGAATGTTTCTGGTAACTTTTAAAAATAATCGCCATTCGAGAACAGCTTAGATAAAATGTCTTGACAAAATTTCTCTGGGATTCCTAATGATTATTTATTGAAGTTACTCAAGGTCAGAAGAATTCCAATGCAAATTATACTTTGATCTAGTGCTTCCAGCTCAGGTGTATAATGAACTAGATGAAGTGCAAGATTCTTCCTGCATTGTACAAAGTTTCTCAGCATCAGCCTCAGAAAAATATCCTCCATTCAAATTCATTTGTTCATTCAAAGTACAGTTGTCTATTTCTTTTCAGGTTGTGTCACATTTTGAATCTCCTATGCTGTGCTACTACAACAAATCCAAACTGGAAAGTTGCTTTTAAACTTGCACCAATTGAAACACCTATAAATCATCTTTTTCTAATATTTTGCAAGGATTCACACCCAAGATGCACTGATGAAAGAACAGTACCCAAAGGCTTGTGGTATCCAGTTTCTCAGTGAGTAATTTCTAATATTCCTTGATATTTTTCTCTTTTTGTCTGATGGCCAAAATATGGCCACATCTTCATGATTAACATTTCATCAGGAATATATTTTTGATAGGTTTCAGATATTTTCAGATGTTCAGTTTGAAATTCTGTCATGTACCTGTTATATTGAGTGGGACTTCTCAATCTGGGACAGATTGAAACATCCCCCAATTGGACTCAGATTATAGCTTGTCAGAGCGGAAGGTATGATATGAATGAACCAAGCTTGGAGATGATGAAATGAAGCTGAATAAAGAATAATTGAAGTAACCTTCAATAACATTTTGGAATGGGACAGATTTGTTGAGAAAGTGATTACATTAAGGTGGCTAAAATCCATTTTAATACTACTGGAACATTTGTGAAGCAGTTGTTGATACGTTTATCTGGTATTAATTTTGTACTGTTCAAAAATTCAGCTGTGCAATGTCAATTTTTGTAATACCTTAGGAACTGTACAAATAATATTTAATTTGGACAATCAAATAGGTTTGAACATTCTATGCTGGTTGCTTCTCGTAGGCAGATTTTTGGAAACACTTTGCAAAGTTCAAGAGGGTAAGGTGATGGACTCATAGGTTATTTTCCTCCATTCATCAATTTTCATATCACTGGAAGTGTGAACTCAGTGTCAACCACTCGGATAATTTGGGTGACAGTCAGCAAGTCATCACATGATTTCCAGAGAACAAGGGAGTGTGTTATGGTGAAAGGAGAATATAAAGATCAGATAAGAATGTGATAAAAGTAAGTCATGAACAGTGAGTGCCTAACTATAGACTTCTAAGAACAATGAAAATAATTTAATTTGGGAGCACAGTTCCTTAATACTTAAATGAACTGAATGAGTAACCCAGAACGTGGGCAAATGATTCCAAGAGCAAATTTCACTGTAGTAACTGGGGGTTTAAATTCAATTACAAACATATGTAGGAACATACAAATAAGGAGCAGGAGTACTACATTCAGCCCCTGGAGCCTGCTCTGCCATTCAATAAGATCATGGCTGTTCTGATTATAACCTCAAGTCTGTATTCCTACCTACCCTTGATAACCTTTCGCCCTACTGTACAACAAAAATCAAAAACCAGTGACTTTAAAATATTTGAGGACTCTGCTTGCATCACATTTTCAGGAAGAGAGTTTCTAAGACTGATGAGTCTCTGAGAGAGAGAAAATAAATTGGCTT